TCAAGGCTAGAAGAACTTGTGTCTCCATTTTGTCAAGAAATAGGACAGAGAAGTTAGGTCATTCCCATGAGGTTACAGTCAGTGACAGCGGGGTGGGGGGGTGGAGGTAGGTTGGGATGGGGGATGAGGGGTGGGGGAGTGAGTCTACACCCACATCTGATTCTCTGTGTTGTATTGTGCAGGTGCCACATAGGTCCTCTTTCGAGGAGGAGGCAGAGGGTCATCTCCAGCTGTCAGCAACATCAGGATCATCTAATGTTGCCTTACGTGAAGAAAGCTCCTAACTAGGTAAGTCTATCATGAGGACAGAGAGTAGAGGGGTGAGGGATGTCACTCTTGACACACAGTGTTTACCCCACATCTCATTCCTAGGTTGACTGAGAATGTTTTAGGGAACATCAAATTTCTGGCCTCTCCTTGCTTTTCATTCACAGGCATTAATTCCTGATAAGCAACCTGGACTTCAAAATATCTCTGCAGCTACTCCCACAGAGGCCTGCCTCTACTTGTGACCCCAGAAACAAGCTACAGAAGCAGATGACAAGCTGGGGTGTGAAAGTTGGACACTGGCTTCCCAGCTGCCCTTCGTGCTGTAGCAGAAGTGAAATACAGATGGTCCCTGGAACAAGCTGGAGTTCTACTTTTTAAAACTTGGATAGGGACACCATCAAGATGGCTCAGTAGGCTATGTGTTTGCCACAGAAGCCCAACCACCTGAGTATGATCACCAGAGCCCTTGTACTGGTGGAGGAAAAAACTGACTCCATGGAGCTCCTTTCTGACATGCATACTCCCCACATACCCCTCCCCCCACATGATAATAAAATAAAAAGCTTTGACAGGCACTAGGGAGGGGATGTACCAGGCAGAGAGAATGCTCTATACTCTAGAAGAACCAGTTTCAGGGCAAAGGCACCAGCTTTGGGAGTCCCAGGGACTAGGCTTGCCCCCCCCATCCTAATATGCCAATCAAAGAGGTGAGTAAAGTGAGAAGCAGAGGCAGGAGAGATTTAATCAATGTTCACAATGAAAGAGGAAAAGGTAGAAGGGTCCAATGATCCCCCAAGTCCATCTTCAGGGCACTGATGAGAGCTTTAAGTTTAAACAGAGGGAGAATTGCACCAGGGGACAAGAGCTAGATATAATTAAGCTGCCCTGGTCAAGGATGGTCTGGATGTTCTTGCCCAGTTCTGGTTCTGCAGGATGGTCCAAAGAAGATCTCATCACTTAGAAGGAGCAATCTGGTGACCATGGGTGATCACCCCTGCTCCAGGGCACAACCTTGCTTTTATAGACAGTTACCCTCATTTCAGTGGAGGGGAAAGTCTGAGAGACTCTGCTGTTAATGGATTCCAAGGCTAAGACCTGGAGAGTTTTACATGTCTTTGAGGGGCTTGACATAGAATGCTGTAAAAAAGCTAATAGTAAGTGGGCTGGGGAATGGCTCAATCAGTACCTGCCATACAGACAGGAGGAACTGAGTTCAGATCCCTAGAACCCATATAAAAAGCTAGGTATGGCAATGGGCCTGTAACTCCAGTGATGGGGGTTGAGGGGTTGGGAGGGTGGGTGGAGGCAAGCATATCTCTAAAGCTCATTGGCCAACCAACTTAGCTGAATGGATGAGCTTCAGGCTCAGTAAGAGACCCTGTTTCAAAAAGTAAAGGTGAAACTTGATCAAGAAAAGACCCTTGACATTTGGCCTCTTCCTGCCCTTATGTGCACACACCCACATTGACAAGTACACACACTGCATATACAACACATAAATAAGCAGGCTGCATAATGCTCAGTTACACTCCCCTTTGTCTTCAGTTTCAGAGGGGTATGGGATGAAGCAGGTACCATGTGTTTCTATCTAGAAAGTCCTTGAGTGGCTAATGTGCTTGCATAGGTAAGCAGGTCACTCAGTGTGAAGGAGATAGATGCAAACAAAGGCAGGCAGAGATGCCTGGCGTTATATCAGGTATTTAGTTACTTTGTGGGCTTGAGTGAGAAGTCAATCTTTTTTAGTAAGTACAGTTTCTGTCCTGCTATATCAGAGGGAGCCGCATAACAGGAACAGGCAGCAGCCATGTGGCTAACTGGACTGGACATCTATGCACAAAAGGCTTTGGTCGTACAGGAAGAGCAACAGCCAGGACAGGTTTGAGGCACCTTGGGATGAAAGCCACAGGGACTTGCTGCCTGCAGTGAGGGGCAAACCTCACTGGGACTCATTGGGACAGAACCTCAAAGTTAGCTGGTCATCTATTTGATGTCCTTTGAAGTGTGGACTCTCCCAGGCCTCTCTGCAGTTCCTAAGGGTATTGGTGTGGTCTACATGGTATCTAGATTTTTATCATCTGGCCTGTAGTTGGATACATCTCACACTGGAAATGAAGAGGAAACTGGTGGAAAGGATGGAGATGCTGGGTATCTCTAGCCCCTACTGCTGATTAGGGCTTGACAGTAGCCATTTTGGGGAGGACCCTTTCCTACAGTGACACTCTAACCTCACATGGCCCCATCTCTGTTCTTGCTCACTCAAGCCTAGATGTTTCTGAGAACATTTGTTAACCTCCATCTATCCCCTAACCCCACTCGTCCCTTGAAAAACACCTCCTTTAGACAACTAACTCTTTCCCATCCATGGCTCTGTTCAGAATTGCATTTATTCCCACCCGTGGCTCTGTTCAGGATTGCATTTATTCCCACCTGAGACTGACTATAAAGTCCACATATGAGCTTTTATCTCTGATAACTGCAGACATTGTACTGGCTTCCTGGCTCAGCCTCTTAACTAGCTGATGTAATCCTATTGACTCCCAGTTTTCTCACCCAAGAATCTAAGCATCTGAGTTAAATGGCTTCAGTGCTACTTTTACTACTTTTGCCCTAAGCATCATGTTGACCTCTTGGAAGTGCTTGACACATGCTGACAATGGATGCCTTTTTATTGCATCAGTGATGTATAGCATGACATCCATCACCATCTTATTCCTGCAACAGTGCTGAGATAGGACAGCATGTTACTAGACCAGTGAATAAACATATATAGAGGGGTTAGGGATACATATGGTCCTACTATGTGATGGTTAATGTTAACTGTCAACTTATCATGATTCAGAATCGCCTAGCAGTAAGCCTCCAGGCACACCTGTGAGGGCTTACTTAGATTAGGTTAGTTCAAAGACTCACCCCAAAGGAGGGCTGCTCTATTATCTGGGTTTGGGGGCTGGGATGCATAAAAAGGAGGCTAGCTGAACACTCAGTTCTGTTTCCTGATTATAGATATGACTCAAACTGTTGCCTCAAGTTCCTGATGCTATGAAGGACTGCACTTGTGAACTGTGAAGCAGAATATACCTTTCCTTTCCTTAGGTTCTTTTTGTCAGGGAATTTTTATCACATTAACAGAAGAAGAAGAAAAAACAAAAAAGGAACTGAGATGCATCCTGAGAGAGGTGCAGAACTTGGCTTGGAATCCTGGACCCTTGAACCTTATTCTCCTACAGTCCTTGCTGTTCGTGTTTTCCCTCCCACTCACCCAGTAAAACCATGTGGCCAGGGGTCAGCACTCTGTAGCCCCATTTGGTTTGATGCTTGCTTTTATGCAATGTGACAGTTAAAAATAAAATTTACATAATTGGAAAAAGGGGCCCAAAGAAGGAGATTTCATGACACGTTGTCATGGTTACCTCTAGCCGTCAACTGGACACAAATCTGGAGACACTTATGAGGAGGGAATCTCAACTGATGAATTACCTTGATCAGATGGCCGTGTCTTTGGGCATCACTTCCCTCTCCTTGGTTTTTTGAGACAGGGCTTCTTTGTGTAGCCCTGGCTGGTCCTAGAATGTTCTTTGTAGACCAGTATGGCTTTGAACTCACAGAGATTCATCTGCCTCTGCCTCCCAAGTTCTGGGATTAGAGGTATGCACCACTACTACCTGGCACAGGCATTTTTTGATTAATAATTAATGTAGAAGGGCCCAGCTCACTGTAATAGGTGCCATCTCTAGTCTGGTGGGCCTGGACTGTATAAGAAAGCTAGCTGAGCAAGCCAGGGAAGCAAGCCCATAAGCAGCATTCCTTCATTGTTTCTGCTGCAGGCCTCTGTCTTGAATTCTCTTAGTGATGGACTATAAAGTGTAAGATGAAATAAACCCCTCCCCAGCTGCTTTTGTTTCTGGTGTTTGTAATGGCAACAGAACAGTAACATGATCGTTCTACAAAGCTTAGGCTTTTAGACAACAGTCCTGAACCCACAGCAGCTATCAAACAATGAAAGTTTCACAGCTGCAGATGGTGCATAAATGTAAAATATCTGCTTGTGATCCTTTATTGAAAAAGTTTGCTGGGTCAAAAATTTGCCTCCTTGAATCCTTATGTGTGTTGGATGTAACCCACTCTTCTGGCAAGGAAATACGGGGAGTAAAACCCCACCATTGGCATTAATAGTAGTAACAGCTCCCACACACTGAAGTCCTCCGACCCATCAGGCCCCTTGAAGTCGACATTCCTTAGATGTTTTAATATGTTTCTTTTCCACTCACTGTACAGACCAAGGTTCTCACAAGAGAAGTAACTTATCTGAGGTCATGTATTAAGTAAGGGGTACAGCTTAGAACCGAATCCAATTTTTCTGCTTCCATGGACACTTTGTCGTTAAACCCAACTCTTCTGAACAGAACTGAAGCTCGCACCCACAGAGGGTCTCAGCTCCCAGCCACTCTGCCTCAGCGATGCACATCACATCAGGGCTAACCAGTTAACCAATGTCAAAGTGACCACTTCAAGCATGGACTGGAGGCCTGACCAGGATGACAAAATTCAGTTCAGTCCAGGGTGCTGGGACTTATGTGAGTTGGTCTGCTGTCTCTTGGCCACTGACTAGTAAGACCAGCTTATTGAGAATCTCTGCCTGGACTTCCCTTCTATGTGTGTGTACATTTACTTAGCGTGAGCTTTGCTCTAGACACCACTGCAAAACCTCCTGGTGCTGAGTTCATGCCAGAGGAGTGCACTACTGGATGCTCAGAGACGGGATCTTGCAGACAAAGGGGAACTTCATGTGGCAGGTGTTATCATTCCAGGACCTCAGTGCTGTCAACAGAAGAAGCAGAGAGTCTGGGTAAAGATCCATCTACTGCATTAAAAGTCACTGCGTAGCTGCTCTGGAGTAAAAGTCCTCTCCAGCTGGCCTCACTTGCCAAGACAGCTCTCTGATCTTCATTTCTCATAAAGCTGGGTTTGATCTGCCACTGGTTTGGGGAGGGCAGACTTTGCTTAGAGACCACCCCAGCTCTGTATGCTGGACTTCAGGATGGCCCCTAGGATAAATCATTTTTATATCCCACCACTCCTCAGGGGAGGAAGAAGGAATAGAGAAGAGCAGGGAGATTCTTGATCTGGGATTCTGTGCATGTTTCAGACTTAGCTTCATTTCTTGCCTGCTCTGTGACCTTGAAGAAGTTTTGCATCTCTCTGGAGCCTGGATTACCTTGGCTCCATAGTTGATAGAGCACAGAATGTGCGTTCAGACGATAGCTCAAGGAGCTCATGCTCCTATTACTCTGCCAGCTGTCCCTCAGTTATCTCAGTGGCCTTTACATAGGGGTAGATATTAAGCCCATTTCCCAGGAGAGGAAACAGACTCTCAGGGTGAATTACAACCTACAAGAGCATAGCTACAAAGCAATGGGGCTGGAATTCAAACCCAGGCATGTGCTCACACAACTGTATTCTGTCTAATATGCATAAGTACCAGCCTGGGCTCAGGGCTTGGACTTTGGTGCCCTGCTGAGCTGACCCAGGAGATTAAACTCAGTGCAAAAAATTTTAAAAATGGATATAGGCTGCACTGTACACATCAAAGAACTTAATGAAACTCTGCTACCCACTCTAATTCTCTAATGCCCTTTCATCCATTTAGAGCCTAAGTGTCAGTGAATCATTAAAGATCACTTGAAATACTTCTACCGTAGATAGTATCCCATTCCCAGGGACTCTAGCTGCTCTCCAAGGTTCTGAAAAATATGATCTCTTAATCCTCATTATCATCCTCCTTTCCCCATGGTGCTTCTCCATGCTCCTTGATGTCTCCCCATCCCTCATGGTGACTCCACTCCCCATCTCCTCATCGCATTCCCCCATCCTTCAGGGTTCTTCCTCATCCACCACAATATCTCTTCAACATCTCTGTGAGAATTCAGGTCCCAGGGGTACCTACCACTACTTGGTCGGTACCACATCTGCACACAGTCTTCTTCTGGGTCTGTATGGATGCCATCACCAGGCTGGCTCCTGTCCCAATAACTGTAGTCATAAGGAGAGCCATCCGTCCACTCAAACTGCCCTTCCTGGGGTCCATTCAGAAGCAAGGAAGTAGAGAGGAAGACCAAATACTGGGTCAGCTCCAGTGTAGGTACAACATTATAGTACTTCACGCCTGCCACCTTGTATTAAAGATCTTACTTGTAATGTGTATTACTGTGGGATATTCCTATACACTGTATGGATATATGTTGCAGTGATTGGTTTAATAAAGAATCTGGCTGGCCAATAGCTGAACAGGATAAAGTTAGTCAGGAGAGCCAAACTAAGAATGCTGGGAAGGAGAAGGGTGGAGTCTGGAGTCCCAAGCAGACTCAAAGAGAAGTAAAATGGAACATGCCATACTGAAAAAAGGTACTGAGACATGTGCTAAAGCATAGATTAAAAAATATGGATTAATTTAAGTGTAAGATTTAACTAGTAACAAGCCTGAGCTATTGGCCGAGCATTTGTAATTAACTTTAAGTCTCCATGTTGGTTATTTGGCAACTGGCAGATGGAAAAAAACATTTGTCTGCATACTATGGTTGTCTGCACTGCTCTTCACAGATGCCTTGTTTGGCTCTTATCATGTGAACTTGACTTATTTTGTCCTCACCACTCTGCACTGCAGGCATTGTCATTCTCAGAAAACTGGCACATGGATGAGTTGGCCCAGATCCATCAGTGTTGGTACCCAAACCCAGGCAGACCTGATTCCTTTACCCAACACCTAAGCACTGTCCTTCTTTAGTCAGTGAGACTTACTCTTCTCCACTTTTTTACTCAAATGTCCATAAGTTTCTTTCCTGGTCTGGAACTATGCTGTTCTATTGCAAGAGAAGTCCTGCTGGAAATCTGATGGGTTCTGGAGTGAGTATGCAAACCAATGGTAGAAAGAATGACACCAGCAAGGATGGGAGCAGGAGTCACACCTTTGTGTCATCTATTCTGGTCTTTAGAAAAGTACCTCTTGAAGCATGGATGATTCTGAAGTCTTTTCTATACAGTGGAATAGCATAGAGGGGGCGGACAGAGCTCAAGGTTTTCTCTCTATCCACCTTCCTTGGTCTGTGACCTAGGCACATTACTCAACCTTTCTGAAATTCAGTTTCCTGTTCAATACAGCAGGGTGAATATCCCACAGAGGTCTGAGGGTTGAGTGATTTTCAAAGTATGTGAATGGCCACATGGAGCCTTTGTCAGTCTTGTTTGTTAGGGTTATTAAGTCTTATAATACACATTCTTTCCTTTCCTTTCCTTTCCTTTTCCTTCTTTCCCCCCTCTCTCTCTCACTCTCGCTCTCCTTTTTTGCTGAGACATGGTTTCTCTGTGTAGCCTTGGCTGTCTTGGAACTCATTCTGTAGATCAGGCTGGTTCCATAGAGAACTGCCTGCCTCTGCTTCCCAAGTGCTGGGATTAAATGTATGTGCCACTACTGCCAGACTATTACACATAATTTTTAAAATTATGATTAATGTAGTTCTAATTTAATTTTATTTATTTTTATTGGTTAGGATGATTTAAATTACCCCCCCCCAAGTTTTTGGGAATTACTTTAAAATACAGTTAAAATGAGCAAGAGTTTTAATTGCATACTTTAGTTGGCACACAGTGGTTCCTTCAGCAGAAATTTCCATACCATTCCACCTTTCCCCCCTTTAGAAGTCCTTATTCAAGGGAGGACACTGGGACAGAGGTAAGGGACTGGCATGATGGCTGATCTAATTTTAATGCTGCTACTTTAAATGGCAACATTTGTTTTATTATTTATCATTTAGTCATTAGTTTTATGGTGCTGGAGATGGAACCCAGGGCCTCTGTGGAACCTATCACTGTATCTCAAGTCCATATTACATTTCCTATTTTTTGTTTACTTGTTTGAGGTTCTAGGGACTGAACCTAGGGCTGAGACAGGGAGCCAAACTCAGATTCTTCCACAACATAGAATGATCTCAGGGTGAACCCAGACAATCAAAAGACACTTCATCTCAAAATAAACAATGCAGTGGGCTGGGGATGGAGCTCAGTAATCGAGTGCTCACTTATCTACTGTGTGTGAGCCTTGGGTTCAGTGATGCTGAAGGGGTTTTTAAAAAAGGACTCTCATATATCTAGTGACATTTTTTGTTTGTTTCAGAGAATCTGAGTCAAAACAAAGACTTTCTCTGATTATCCTCTATGTTCCAGTCACATCCACCTCTATGACAATCTGAGGCAGGTCAGTGTCACATCCACTTCCAGGACTAACTGGACAGGTCATTGTCATATCCTCTTCCATGGCTGACTGGGCTGTCTATGTGCTGGATGCATAACTGTGACCTGGCATTATTAAATCAAAGTGGAGCCTTGGCTTGAGTTTCTCCACGGGATCTGATAGCTGTGGCTTCCTCAGCTCACCTGCCTGTGGTCATGAAGGCCCATCCAGATGTTAGCCGGGATGTCAGGAACACAGCTGTTCACCAGGTCATACACAAAGATGTTCTCGTCCCAGCTGTGGATGTAGGAAGCATAGCAGCAGTTACCACCACTCCTTTCCATAGGGCGGAGTCTAAAGCATGCTTGTTATTGTTTCTGGGCTAAGTAAAAAGAGGACAGGCTGTAACTCTTCATTTCTTTTCTGTTCTCTTAAGACTTTTGTTAATTAACTAACCTATGTATTTACTTGTGTGTGTCTGCCTGAGTGTGTGCACACATGTGTACTTGTGTGCACACTTGTGTATAGGTGCAGCAGCCTGAGCGTCTCCCTCTACCACTCTCTGAGTGATATTCCTTTGAGACACTCTATCCATGAACCTGGGGCTTGTGCATTCTTGGCTAGGCTGGAAGCCAGTAAGTGCTAGCAATTGTTCTGTCTTGCCATCCTTGGAACTGGGGCTATAGGCATTTGCTGGGGCACTTGGCATGTTATGTAGATGTTGGGATCTGAACTCTGATCTTCCCAATTGTGGAGTGAGTGCTTTTAGCAACTGAGCCATCTCCCTAGTCCTCCCATCATTTTTAATTAGGCCAACCATATGTGGCCAACCATGCCAGCTTAGAGAGAGACTCAGCACACTACTTACTACCACTTCAAATACACTACAAATGACGTGGGTCGTATTGAAGACAAAAAGAACAACGGAAGTGCCACACATTGTATCAAGTATACCGAATGACTTAATGAGATTTCCAACACCCACTTTTGTTCTCTCTCCTTGCACTGCCAGTCCTTCCTCTTTCATAATTTTTTCTCACATAGCACCACTAATATATTCTGTCTGTCTGTCTGTCTGTCTGTCTCTTTTCTGGGAAATTCAGCTGTGGGCTTGAAGTTGCTCAGTCCACTCAGTGTCTTTTTGAAGGAGTTCCAGCCTTGATTTCAGAAGGTTATCAACAAAGAAACCAATGAGGGGCCTTGGTGTTTGCTCATTGTCTAAAACAATGAAGAAACAGAGATGAATGGATGGAAGGACAAAGAGATAGATGAATGGATGGAAGAAAGTGGGAATAGATAAATGGATGGATAATTGATAAAGGATGGATGATGAATGGATAGAAAAATAGAGGAACATAGGGAAGGAAGGGTGACTAGATGGACATAGTAAGACAGACTCACAGGCTGCAGGTACTCATTTATGTTAGAACTGTGTTTCATGTTATGTAGCTATGGATTCATTTTATCCTCGTAGCAAGCTGGACTTGAAGCAGACTCAATTGGCTGTCTGCCCCAAAGCCATTCCCATAAGATGATTTCATCTTCCTACTGTAAATGTCATAGCCTAGGAAGGCATATTTCTTTCCCCAGTCTCTTTGAAGTTAACACTGCCAAAGGAGCCAGCTCAAATACCTAGCTGAAAGGCAAGACTTTCAGGGAGTGTCTGGGAAGCATTTTCCCCCTGGCAGAAGGAAGATGTGTGGAGAAGATCCCAGTCTTTGCTCTGTCCTTCCTGTTTGGAAACTTTCTTGAGGAAAGTCAAGGCAACTGCTCACCCAAAGCATGGTTCACCTAGTGCCTTATTATCAGTGAGCCCAGAAAAAGCCATCAACTAGAGTCAGGAGGGCAGAGGAAGGGTGTGAGGGCAAACAGACAAATGGCAGCACAGGTCACTCAGTTGTTCACACAACCAGATGGACAGATCCCCCTGACAAGTGGTTCCTATCATGGATAAGAGGTGAACTTCAGTGCATCAGGGAAGTCATCGCACTAGTCCTGGACCAAAGGTCTACCAGCTCCCACAAGTATGTTCCCAATGCACTTTAAAGGGGCTCCCATTCTGTGGGAGTGTCCACCATGGAGTGTATCTCACCTGGAGTGGAGGTCAGGGGAGATGCTTGTGCCTTCCACCTTGTTGAGGAAAAGTCTCTCTTGTTTCTGCTTTGTTGCTAACTCCAGGGAGCCAACCTGCAAGCTTCCAGGTAACTCTGTCTCTACCTACCACCTCACACAAGGAGTGCTGGATACAGATTCGTGTCAGATGCAGATGTATCCGCCCCCCTCCCACCCAGCTCAGTTTCTGAGGTCAGACTTGTATAGTTGGTGCTTTTACCTACCAAGCCATCTTCCTGGCCCACCTGTTTCTGTTCCACACATGTTTATTAGGTCAGCTGTGTCACCGGATCAAGAGCTCTGATGCCCTGCAGTGCATGGCACAAAACGGGCAATTATAAAGATGATTCTCCCAGCATGCTCTTTGCTGCTACCGCTGTGCTATTTGCCCTCTGTTTCACCCAGGATAACTTCAGTGAAAAACTGTGCTGGGTAAGAAGTAGCTTCCATGACCTGAGCCAGAAGCCAGTTGGAGACGTCAGACTCCAAATCCTTTCCCCAAGGGCACTTGGCTAAACCACAGAGGCCTTGGCAGTCCACTCACCTGTGGATGGAGGCCAGCTTGGCAGATTTCCTACCGACAGTGAACTGAGAGCAGTGCAGGTCGGCCTCGGCCCAGGTCTTATTGATGGGAAAGAATCTGTAGCAGTGACCTTTGAACTCTGTCCAGAACAAGGGACACAGCAGGGTCATCTGGGGCACCTCTGACAGGGCTGGGGATCGAGAGAAAGCAGAGCAGGAGGAAGATCGGTGGTGCTCATGTTGTCTCCGCAACTTATTACACATTTTTAAGAGTAAAACACATCCATTATGATTAGCACAGTTCTGTGCCTGAAGTCTAAAACTATAGGCACACTTCAAGCCTCCATAGAAAGACCCTGTCTCAAACAAACAAACAAACAAACAAACATACAAAAAACAAACAAACGAGAGTTATTTTAAACATTTATGCATTATGTATGTGTATATGCTGTGCCTGTGCAGGTGCCACTTGTATGATGATGTCTACTGAGCCAGAAGGGGGCAGTGGCTCCCCTGATGCTGTAATTACAGGTGGTTGTGAGCCACCTTGTGGGTGCTGGGACAGAACTTGGATTTTCTCTTAACTGCTGAGCCACTTTTGCAGCCCTTATTAACATTGTTTTAAATAGCTCTTGAATAGCCCCCAAATAGCCTTCCTAGAGTTTAATAACTACTTTATTTTTGGATAATTAGACTAATTTCTTCCTTTCTTCCTTCCTTCCTTCCATCCTCTCTCTCTCTAAATAAAAATCTACTAAGGATAATACTGAGACAACAGTTTTGTACAACAAGCTTTGTCAGTGTTACTGGTGGTTTTCTGAAGAGATAAAATGGATGACTTTGATACAATTTCTAAATTGTCTCCTGAAAGCAATTTTCCCTCTCTTCATGGCTGAGGGACTCATCTCACTCTGCCCTTGCCAGTCTTTACTGCCATCACTTCCTTGGGAATCTTTGCAAATTTTGTAAGCAAGAAATTGCACCTTGTTTCAGTTTTCAATTCCAGGCTATCTGGCAAGTGTGCACATTACTGACAAACTAGAAGCAAGACTTTTATCTTTTGCTGGGGTCAGAATCATTTGTTAATTGTGAAAAGCAACACCCTGAAAACAATAAGGCTGGGACTGGAGAGATGACTCAGTGGTTAAGAGCACCAGCTGCTCTCCCAGAGGACCTGGGTTCAATTCCCAGCACCCGTATGGCAGTTCACAACTGTCTGTGACTCCAGTTCCAGAGGATCTGACACCTTCATACCAATGCACATTCAATAAGGTTAAAAAGAAAACAACAAGGTTATGGTGTTTGAGTTGATAAAGTCCTCTTAAGTCTTGGCCCCTCTTGAAACTTCTTGGGGCTGTTGTTCTTGGAAACAGAAGGTAGCTGCTGGGAGAGGCAGACAATTGAGAACCTTCCATCCACTGAGTTGAGAGATGCATGCAGTGAGCAGCAGGTCCCTGGACACCTGTGTACTGGTCAGCTCTGTGTCTGACCTGGTGTGAGTCATGGGCACATTCTCTTTTTCCTCAGATGTCTGCTCGAAGACACCTGGAGTCCAACCTCTCTTGTAACAACCCAGAAGCACAGAATCTCTGCCTTCAAATGGCGACCATAGCTGACTGACTCTGAGAATCTTAACGTAGTGAATAGGGGAGATGAATCAGTGGATAAAGTGCCTACTGTGCAACCATGAGGACCCAACATTCAGATCTCTAGTAGCCACAGAAAAAGCTCAGCTTGGTGATCCATGACTATAATCCCAGCATTGGGGTGGGGGTGTAGAGTCAAGCAGATCCTCGGAGTTTGCTGGCCAGCCAGTCTAGCTGCTAGGTGAAACTTCAAGGTTAGTGAGAGACCCTATCTCCAAAAGCACCAGGCATTGTGGCACATACCTTTAATCACAACATTCAGGAGACAGAGGCAGATGAATCTTTATGGGTTCATAGATGGTCTGGTCTACATAGTGAGTTCCAAGCCAGCCAGGGCTACATAGGAAAGAGATCCTGACATCGCTTCTCCCCACCCCTGCCCCCTGAAAGCAGCCTTCTTCCCCAAGGTGGAAAATACTTTGGGAGTTATTCTGCATCTTCCCAATCTGATCCCTTTGAGGTTGTTTTCCCTCACTAAGGAAAAAGGAATTTCTGCATGCCTGGGTTGAAATAAACCAGAAAATGGGACTGTGGCAGGTCACTGCCCAAATCTCTCCTTCCATCCAGGCAAGCAAAAACCATTAATTGGAGGGTTGGGAGGCACAAAAATGAACTCCCAGCTGTCTGGTATTTCCCCCTCTCCCTTTGCCTCTGAGAGATTAAGAGCTGGGGTTAAAAGGTTTTTCATCAACTGGAGCACTAACTAGCCTTTGCTAGTCTGTTCATCTTTTTAGGCGTGCTGCTGGATTTGTATATTGACCTTCAGAAAATGGTGGTAATGCAATAACCAGAACCAAACTTTACTGACCACGTGGTGTATGCTAGGCCCTGTGCTAAGTGCTTTGTACCTGTTATTAGTTTAATCTTCACATCCTATCAGGTAGGCTGTTACTCAGAACACACAGAGGTTGACTACCTTGTCAAAGGTCACAGAATTGCTCAGAGGTAGCCCATGGAGCACAAGATTTTTTTTTTTGAGAGAGCACACAGAAATAATGATGTCATTAATATTTAACTTGTGGGTGTGAGGCTTGCAGGCAAAATTGGAAACATTATTTGTTTGCCCCTTTGAGGGAAAGAATTAATGACTCTCTGGTCCCTGTCAGAAAGGACCTTACAAGTAGTTAGGACAGAGACTTGAAGATCTACCTGTAACAGTTAATGTATCAGCAGAGACGTGGACTATGTTAAGAGTCAGAGTGCTCCGGGCATTGGGCATGGTGCAGGCAGAGGATGGAGTGTGGCAGGGGGTTGGAGTGGTCCAACAGCCTAAGAGTCTGAGAAGGAATCCAAGGTGAGGCTGGAGGGAGATATGGGGGATAGAGGGAGAGAGGCAGACTGGAGGTGCAGAACAGGAAGAGGAGGAGGCTTGTTGCTCAGGAAACCGAGAAGCCAAACTGCATGGTCAGCCAAGGTCTCCCAGCTCTGTGTGTGTGTGTGTGTGTGTGTGTGTGTGTGTGTGTGTGTGTGTGTGTGTGTGTGTGTGTGTGGTGGGGGGAGTCAAAGCCTTTGGGAGCTGAGTTTGTTCTGGGATGAAAACACATCCTTGGAATCCAGCTCTCCCACTTTGAAAGAATAAATTGTCACCTTCCCACTCAATCTGGCTGTGAGCTTCCCTGGCCCCCCTCCAGCCGCCCACAGATGCAACACTCTGCTCTCTGCTGCCTCCTGCAGATGTCCTGCTTTGCTGCCACCTCCTCCTGCCCAGATCAGCCTCTGGACCAGACAAAGAGAGGAGGCTGAGAGGCCCCTAAGCCACACTCACCTTCCCCATTCCCAGAGTGGGGCCCCAACACTCCTGGGACTTAAAGGGAAGTGTCTTCCAGACTCTAGCAAGATGGAGGGCTGGGCCACCTTTATCATCCTCCTGTTGCCTCTCTGGTCTCAATGCTTGCTCTTTCCATCCTGAGCTCTGCCTTTTCCTTTCTGAGACACTCTCTTGGCCCCAGAACAGAGGAAAAGCTCCAAACCCATTGCTTAGATCGATCTTAGCAGGGGCCATTCACTGGGTGTTTAGTGCTCGATTCCCGGAGGTCAGCCCAGGAGCGATGTTAGACTCGTACCCACTTTGCGGACAAAGACAGGAGAGACTGCCACTTGCTCCTGGTGACCAGGTTTGTAACTCTCTGAAACTCCTAAGCCCTTTAGTGCTGCTGGAAGAAGTGGTTCCATGCTCATGGTTCCATGGCTCATCAGCAGAATAAATATAGTTGAGCTTCATACCTACAGGCTCTGGTCCATGAACTTAACCAATAGTGGAGAGAAAGCATCTGGGGAGGCACTGCACCTGTGCTGAACATAGATTTCTGGGGTGCTGGGGATTTGTATGTGCTAGGCAAACACTCCCAGCCTTTGGTGAATTCAGATAGGGTCTCACTCTGTAGCTCAGCTGGCCTTGGATTTAAGATTCTCCTGTCTACGATTCCTAAGTGCCATAATTGGGGGCACTTAGTTTTTCTTTTGTGTCATCTTTCTCTACACAATGCACCCCAGAACACAGGAAATAGATACTGGTTAGATGCAGCTACTGCATCTTTCTACACCAGGGGCCCAGTATCTGATAATTTTGACATCCACCAGAATGCTGGAACCTTCAGATGGCTAAGGGACTACAGTGTGTCAGATATGAAGTTTAACAAAGATTCAGTTAAAGACATCAGCATTTACTGAGTTCCTATGTGTGTGACCTCATGCTGTTCCCACATGGTATTAGTTATTGTATACTAAAGGGTATTCCATAGTATGTGTAGAGTGTCCTGTGACTACACAGGGGGAGAAATAATAGCCAGAGTGTCTGAGGCAAGCTCCAGGATTGCATCTACACTAGGAGATAGGACATCCATCTGCTTGAGCCCCTGTACCCCAGCTTAGGTGCTTGGAATCTGGCACCAGATGACCCTGATTGGAAACTGCTACCTCAGTTTCATCTGCAAAATGTGCATGGGTGGGACTGGGGACATGGCTCAGTGGGTAAAGTGCCAGCTGTGTAAGCATGAGGACTGGAGTTCATCAGATCCCTAGCTCCAATGTAAGAAACCAGGCACAGTGATGTAATTCTGTGCTCTCATTGCTGGGGAGTTAGAGACAGGCAGAAACTCATTAGCCAACTAGCCTAACTGGATCAGTGAGAAACCCTGCTTAAAAATAAATAAATAAATAAGCAGAGAGCAAACAACATTCAACACACACACACACACACACACACACACACGGCTTGACTGAGTACTTACTTCCCTGCAAAGATGTGTAGGCAGAGTGAGCATCCTAATAGACTTCAAGTATTACCACAGCAGAAACCTTCCCAAGAATGTAATGCTAAGAATGTGATGCCAAGTTTCTGGAGGGTCAGGAGAAGGTGGAACAACTTGACTGATCCCCTGTCTGTACCCTGGGCCCTGCAGAGGCAGGTGCTGAGTTTCAAATCACTTTGCCTTGTTGTTGCATGGAAAGTTTTGGGTTCAGAAGCTGGGGCAAGGAACCAGAGATGGCTGAAGTATTCCGATGGCAATCATCTTTGTTATTGCTATTAGGTGCTGGCTCTAAGTATTTCACTTGTTCAAATGCACAGAAACAATGAGATCAAAGGCAATTTCAGAGGAAAGGCTTGGGGGAAAGTCTAGTTTGGCTAAATCCTCCAAGGCATGTATGAAGGATATTTTCTCCAAGAAAATCCAGGACTGATGCAGAGCAGATCTGTGCATAGATCAGCATGCTTAGGGGATGGGTAATGAGAGCTGGGAGCTGTGGGAGAATGACTGATGCCCTGTACTGCTTTATATAGAATAGCTGGGGATATCCAGAAGAGGAAGGAAATCAAGCTCATTCAACACAAAAGGACTTTGGGGTGCACATCCACCCTTAAGGTCTGCAAGGAACCACAGAGCCCCTATTAAGTCCTTTCTAGTCACCAAGCAATGCACGCTCTCATGCTTGCAAGTCGCCATCTCTGGGTTGATATCATTTCCCTAGTCTGGGGAATGCTGTGTGAGCGGTGATGGTCCTGCTCAGCAGTCTGCAGACTCAGTTTCCCTGCTGTAGGCCTTGGTCAGTCTGTAGCTTTAGTTGCCCCATTGTATAGCCTCAGTTCCTCCGCTGTAGACCTCAGACCTAGTCAGCCTGCACCCTCAGTGTGAGTCCTGTGTCCCTCCTCCCGTCTCCTCCCTCCACTGTAAACCTCCATCAGTCTGTAGCCTCAGTCCCAGACCCCACTGCACCCTCAATTGCTGTGGTAGGGAAGGGTTGAGTGGAATGGATTTCTAAGTCAGAGGTCCCCAAGATTTCTGCCTTTCATGTGATTCTGGTTCGCCTTGTCTATGAAAGAGAGTGGCACATGGGGACAGGTGGGGAAGTCCCTGTCTCTGATGAATCCTGTTTGTCACAATGAAACTCTCCTGCCCGTGACATCATAACACCAACAACCACAATGACAGAGGTGCCCAAAGAAAAAAATGTTATTTTTTTCCAATGTTTGTCATGGTGTTGACACCTTATGTGCACTGACCCTCCATTATTATTTCAACCACTGGTGTGCATGTGTGCATGTGTGCATGCATGCATGCGTGCATATGTGTATGTATGGGTATGTGTGTATGTGTGTACTCAGGCATGCGTGTAGTGGATATGTTCACACATGGGTGCATTAGTGGATTCAGGTGTATATGTGATTGAAGTTGGTTTTCTACCTCTCTCACTCCCCATCTTGTTTTTTTGATGCAGGGTCTTTCACAGAACCGCAGCTCACTGATTCAGCTAGACAGGCATCTTCCCATCTCTGCTTACCCAGCTCTGTGGTTATGGGAACACCATGGTGCCAGGCTTTTAATTTGGCATTAGGGATAAACTTTAGCTCCTCATGGTTGTTCAGCAAGCACTTCCAGCCACAGGCTGAGAGACAAGTTTCTACAGTTTCAGGCCCCAGTCTATGGGTTCTGCCATGACAACCCAAGCTAACTAATACACATAGAGAACTTGAGTAGAAGCAAAACCCCCAGCCTTGGCCAAGTGAGCCAAGGCTACCCACCTCCATACCAGGGGGTTGCCAAACAAATAAGGAGAAGAGTGGTTAGTGAAATCAGAATTTCAGATAAATAACAATTTTTAGTATAAGTTTGTCCATGCAATAGATGAGGTACACTTAGACAAACAAAGGATTTATTGGTATCTATCTACTGGTGTTTTACCCAGTAACTCTGAGCAGCCCACACTATGACAGCCCAATAACTGGCCTTATGACAATCTCCATATGGAGATCTCACTTAAACAGGAATAAAAATAACTGGTCTCCATCACAGGCTTATTGTAAAGATTACATAAAGCTATGATGAAAAGTACTTAGAACTATGGCAATATATAGTAAGGAATTTGTGAGTCTTGCCTTAGAATTTAGGTGTTTGTGAGTACACATATATACACACGTACATGTATATATATATTTAAGAGAGCGTCACAAAATACCACAGGCTAGCCTGTCACTTCATTTGTATACATTCAGGCTTTGAACTCTCCATCCTCTTGCCTCAACTTCCCCAATGCTGTGTTTACAGACACATACTACTGTCCCTAGCATTAATCAATCTTTTAAACAATGCTTGAAAAGAACTTGGCGGAGGCTTCAGATAAGAGGCTGGTGCACACAGACACAAGGAGAAACAGGATATGGTCCAATTTTCGAGAAGTTCCCTGGCGTTAGTGCCACAGCCTCCCCTTTGCACTATGGAAGAATTCAAACTCACTGACTGCCTCTCATCCCACAAATGGCATATAGGGGGATCACATGCCTGAGGCTGATGAGCCCCATTCCCTGGGGACATCCCATAAAGCTCATAGGGATGGGTGTCACTGGAGCCAGGCTGCCAGGGAGACCAGAAGAGGGACAACTGTATTCATCTTGCACATCTATTTCCAGTGCATCTGCATCTCCAAGTTGCCTGGGAATGGTTGGCATTGCCAAGGTTGGAGTGGGGGAAGGGTCCTGGAGATCAGATTTCTAACAAAAATACCATTTCCATTTCCCTGTGGTGACAGGTACTGTGCTAAGCACTTTCTCCACGGCCTGGAGGAGGTGATCTTATGAACCCGTCCTCCCCACTCCCCCAGCACTCTGGAGCAAGAAGCAGGAGATTTCAGGACCAGCCTGGGATAATAGCAAGATTCTGTTTCAAAAGTAAATGACTGAATAAGTAAAATTTAAAGGGAGGGAGAGGAAGTTAGTCTCCCAGGTTACACAGCCTGTAAACTATAAAGCTGGGATTTGAACTTTAAGGGTCTTGGGATGCTCCCTCATTCGGGCTGAGCTCTCAGGAGGGACATTTTAGCCCCGCCCCCTCAGCACTTCCCTCAACATTCCTGCAGCCCAGGCAGCTGGCCTCACCAGTGGGCCCTCAAGTCCCTTGAAGTGACCTCCCCCAACCTGCCCTTGTCCCTGGCCCCTGTGCTCACCTGAGTGGATACTGATGTCAGTGTGTGGAAAGGCCCCTGCAGACAGGAGGGCCAGGAAGGCCACAGACCACAGTCCCCACTCCTGCATGCTGAGCCCAAAGGACATTGCCTCTGGCTAGAGCAGAGCACCACAGAGCTTGGGTCCTTGATGGCTTTTCTAGGTTCAGGCAAGGCCTCCAGCAGCTAAGGCAGATGGGATGGACCCCAGCCCCTCCTTCTCCTGCCTCCCCCCCCCCCACTCCTCTGCATCACTGAATACAATGCAGAATGACAGCTAAGAGCAAAGCAGTGCTCCAGTGCCCTGGGAACCCCTGAGCCACCTGAGTTCCCAGCTCTGAGCCATGCCACCTCTTCTTTGAGCCTCAGTTTCTGCCTCTGTAAGACAGGATCATGAAGTGGCCTGTCCTCCAGCCTGTCCTAGGCCACCTATCATGTCTGTCCTTGTGGGTGAATACCTATCAAAAGGTGGAAACACAAGTTGAGGTTGATTACAGAAGGTCCCTAGCCATAGAGGTGATTTGTGTGGTCTACATAATGTCTTAAAATTAATATAAAAACAGGGCTGGCTCAGCACATGTCAACAAGCCTGATGGCCTGAGACTTGAATGAATCCACATGATGGAAGGGAGAACAAACTCTTGCAAGTTTTCCTGACTTCCAAGCAACACACACACACACACACACACACACACACACACACACACACCACACACACACACACACACCATATTGATGTCAGGCTATAAAAATCAGGAGGTTTGTCGGGTGATGGTACACACCTTTAATCCCAGCACTCAGGAGGCAAAGGCAGGCGAATCCAGTGAGTTTGAAGCCAGCATGATCTACGAAGTGAGTTCCAAGATAGGCTCCAAAGCTACATAGAGCTTTGTTTGTCTTGAAAAACAAAAACAAATGAACCAGGAGGTTTTCAGCTACCAGATGATTTCTGTCTCCTGCTGCAAATCTGAAGATTGGATAAGACTGGGTCCCATTTCTGCAGCAGAATGACTGCCCCGAGGTATGGGGGGGCGCCCGCCACATGTGGAGGGCTCCATGGACTCAGGTGTACCAAGGACCTGTCCACTAGTCTGACATTGAGGCCACTACTTGCAGGGTTAAAGGCGGCATCTGTAGAAGGGTCACACAAAGAATAACAAATGTCACAATGGCTGATTACAAATGTCACAATTACACAGTAGAGCCTAGCTCTACTGTGTAATTTATTCATTTTTAAATGTCCTAAAATCCACTGGTGTTTCTATCGGGATTTCACTGCATGTAGGAGGGTCCTTATTTTTTTCTTTTCATTTTGCATATGTGTGAGTATTCATGTAGATTATGCATGTAGAAGCCTGATGTTGGTGTCAAATGTCTTCTTAAAGGCTCCCGACTTATTTTACTTTTTGAGACAGGGTCTCTCATTGAACATGGAGCTCATTGATCCTGCTAGACTGGCTTTAAGGATTCCTCTCTTGTCAGCTCTGGGATTACGATATGTGTGGCTGCACACAGCTTTTTACATAGGTGTGGAGATTCAAAGCCAGGTCCTCTTGCTTCAGCAGCAAGCTGTTTATCAACTGAGCCATGTCCCCAGCCTGAGAATTCCTCTCTTCTATTCTGCGTATTCTTGGGCAAGCCACTATGCCTGGATGAGCCCGATTCTCCCTCCATTTAATTAATAATAAATAGTATATATTGCCAAGAGATTAAATGAAATTCATCCCTTTGCTTACACTATTTTTCCTTGGAATTTTGGGAGAAGATCTTACTATATAGTCCTGCCTGGCCCTGAATTCATGATCCTTCTGTGTCAGCCTTTCCAGTGCAGAGATGGCAGGAATACCCCACCACAGCCAGGTCTTCATTCAGTTTAGCATGGGTGCTGGGCAGTAGAAGATGGTCACTAAATAACAGCACACACTGCTATTATTGAACTTATACTCATGAAAGACTTACTCTGGCATCAGCTGCATCCTCTCCATCTTGTATGCCCCTTATCCTCCCCCAAAATGCTCAGCGGGGTGCTCTGACACTTCACATCACTGGCATTCGTGAGTAAGATGGGAATATGTCAACTTGGTTTCCAAGTCACTCATTCTCCCTCTGGAACCCCCACTGCAATCTTGTGAGGAACAACTTAGCTCTCACCCACACAGCATGCTTTGCCCCACTGGTATTGGCACTGAAATCTGACAAGTCATGACTCAGCATATAGGCTCAACTTAGGCCCAACTCCAGCTTACAGCAAGTCTGGGGTATATCAGTTGTCTCAAGACCATTGTATTAGGGCAGCTTCCAAAGCGTGTCTATTTATTCAGAAGTGGTGAACATTTAGTACATGCTTATGAGAGTGCTGACATTACTGGGAATATAAATGTTAATGTGTGAATATCAGTCTTTATCATTGACTTGACTGGATTAGGAATCACTTAGAACATACATTTCTGAGTGTGTCTGTGCATTTCCAGAGACATTTACCTGAAGAGGGATGTCCCACCCTGAATGTGGTCACACCATCCAATGAACTGGAATCTCAGGCTGAAAAGAAGAGGAAGAAACCAGTCTGGCATCAGTATTCATCTACCTTTGCTTCTTGTCTGTGGATGCCCTACCTACCTTCTCTCCACCATGTGTTCCCTGCTATCATGGGCTACATCCTAAAACTGTGAGCCCAAACAAACCCTTCCTTCCTTGAGTGTCTGTGTCAGGGGTTTTGTCACAGCAATGAGCAAAGGTTACCATTGTTACTTGCTGTACTAGTCTTTTTGCTCTGAACACCTCTAACCTGACATTACTGTGGGGCCATAAAAATATAAAGTAGATGTTTTCCCTTCAGTGCTATTATCCTGTGGGTAGAAATAGAGAGGTCCCTACTGCTATGTTATTGGGGAAATATCAGGAATCCAAACACATCTGCCTTAGTCCATGTTTGATTCTATGACAAAATACTTGAGATTGGATAATGTATAATGAAGAGAGATTATTTGTTTTCAGTTTCAAGGTTGTAAAATTCAATATCAGTGTCTGCATCTTTTGCTGTAGCATCATAGGTGGGAGGGAGGGAGAGAAGGAAATGGAGAAGAGAGAGAAAGGGGCAAAAGAGGAGACAAACACCTTAATTCACTCTTTATGAGACTGAAACACAGCTGGTGGGGACAAACATTCCAATCACAGCAATGTCCTTCTGAGTATGAATGTTCTAGATGGGAGATGGAGAATAGTCTGAAAGAGGCCACTGGAAATTCTTGTGGAAGGAGAATGGATGGTAGGTAGATAGATATCTTATAGTAGATGATACTTGATAGGTGATGACAGATACATGACATTAGACAGACAGATGATAGGTAGAAAATTTTAGGCAGACAGATCTTGCTGAATCCATACCTATAGTGTTATTGTCTATTAGTCCCATCCGCTCTCTGAATGTGTCCTTTGCTCACTTGCAGGTATAGCCTGTGGAAGTGCATGCAGAATTGCAGAATCTCAGACTATGTCAGGAGCTCCTGATTCAGAAACTGTTCCTGGTTTACTGTCCCCTAGTGGCTTGTGTGTTCATTAAAAGTTTATAGAATATTGCTCTAGGCAGGGGTACAGAACTTTTCTGTAAAGAAAGAGTACATTTTTAAGGCTTTGCTAATCTATCACTGTTCAGCTCTACTAGAGATCCAGGAATAGGCTTGGAAGTGTTTCAATAAAACTTTATTTATAAAGACAGGCAATAGGTTGGGTCAACTCCTGATCTAAGTCTCAAGTTTACAGACAAAAAAGAAATGGATAATCTTCTTCACAAGTATTATGTTCACTGTCAATTGGTGATTATAAGGATCTCTTTGTAGTACAGTGTGTGTGTTTTTTTCTAGTTTCTTAAAATGACAATTACTTAATGATAGTCCTCCCTCCTCTATACATAATTTTATGGGAGGCTGGGCAAGTAAGTTAAGATCTGTCTAAAACATGTACCGATTATCATCTACATATCTATCCATCTATCTGTCTCTTATAATTTTCTAGCTTTTAAAATGTTACAAAGCTGTAGAGATGGTTTAGAGGTTAAGAGCATTTAATATGCAATCACAAGGAGGAAAATTTGGATCCAAGAACCCAGGTAACAAACTGGACATCTCCAATAGTTTGGTAACTGCAGCTCCAAGGGAGGCAGAATCAGAAAGATTGCTGGGGCTTCCTGGTTTCCAGTTTAACCAAGAAAACATGAGCTTCAGATTCAGGGAGAGACCCTACCTCAAAGGGATAGGTGGAGAGTGATGGAAGGGGACACCTGGTATCCTCTTCTGGTCTCTGCTTGTTCATACACATACCTGGACACACACATGTGTGTACACTCAAACAAACATTGAAAAAGATTGCTCACTTAATAGTTAAAAGTTCTCTGTCCCCAGCCATTATAAAAGAGGAGTCAACGCTAATACATTTTGTAAACAATGAGATTGATGTTTTCATGTTCTAGACTTGCTGCTGTGTGATTAGACATCAATCAATATATCTCTCTCAGCTTTCTTGCCTTCAAAATGTGAACAAACTAATGCTTCTCCCATACAAGTACTTAGAAAATGTCATGAGAGAAACACCCACAATCCTAAAGTTGGGAACTAAAGGAGCTGGTGTGGTCTGGATATGACTTGAATGTTCCCCAATGGTCCCTATGATGAATTAGAGTGGCAGTATTGGGAAATGGTTGGTCTTAATAGGAGGCCATTGGGGATGTTGTCCTTGGAAGAGGTTAAGGCCATTAATGTGTGAACTCTCAAGGGTTATGAGATCAGCTACCAGCACCCTCTCTCTGTCTCTGCTTCAACACTCTCACCAAGACGTGACTCCAGCTACTGTCCTTAGCAGATGTCAAAACCATGGCCCACTTTGATCTTTTATTGCCTCAGGTACTTTGCTATAGAAAGCTAACACATTCTCTGGAGGTTAGCTACTTCAAACCTTTAAGGCATTACCTTCCAACATTTTCTTCTAGGTGTAAAGTATTAGGTTTTTAACCTACCAACTCCTCTGGAGTAATTTTTACTTGGAATTTCTGGACATAATGAAGGGCAGTTATCTCACCAGAGTAGAAAATGGGATATCCAGAAAGGAAAGGGATTCTTCT